AAGCTTCCCGCCAAAATCTTTTCAATCCGTTGGGGGTATGGCCAACCCCAAAAGAGAGTGGGGTCGGCCATAGGCCCACTGGATAGAAGTTTTCAGTATTTTGCTTGCTGTTGTGCAATTATCTCATTGGGTGGAGCCCTCCTTCAATCACGGAGTATATGGAGGGCGTCAGGATCACTGGGTGGAGCCCTCCTTCAATCACGGAGTATATGGAGGGCGTCAGGATCACTGCTGACAGAAGTTGAGTTTAGAAAATATGGCAGTTACTCTCTACTGTTGTTGCAAGCACCAGCATCAGATCATTTGTGATCTGATGGCTGGGAAGCACTCTGACGTGATTTCAGGTGGGAGGTCTCTGTTTCTTTTTTCTTTTTTTTTGCCTTTCTCCTGTTTTCTCACCCCAGAAATTCGTAATGAACCTGTCAGGCCGCTGCCACTCAGTGTCACACTGGATCGGCCGCACTCCTATCCGCCTGCTAATGGGACCATGCTCCGTGTGAACTCCGCTCAAATCGTTTGGCGTAATATATTGTTAAATAAATCATAACGGATTTCGAGATTTTTTTGACCTAGCCTACCGGGTCCCAGGTGGCCAGCCCGTGCAAGGACCAAGGAAGGTCCCGGCCAAAAAAAAAAAAATCAAAAAAATCCGAAAAACTATGTTATGAAGAAAAATAAACTGAACAACTTTTGCCTCAAAGTCACATCATAATTCTTCACCAAATTTAAAATAAAATATAAAAAATATATATATATATATTTGGCCTGGCCGGGCAAGTGACCCCGGGCCACTCTGGTAGCCTAGTTTTTGACAGAATTTCCGCCAAAATAAAACACATCCAGCGGCGGTCTGACACGTGTACCGAAAAAAAAAGTAGGCAGTTTTCAATTTTCTTTAATTATTAATTAGTAATAATAATAAACGAACCGAATCCACCTCTCCCCTCTGGAAACCTGAAGATTTTTTTTTTTTTTTTTTTCCGATTGTTGTGGAAACCCTGAAGTAACGCAGGCGGGCCTTGTYTTTTTYTATCCATCTCCAATTTTTTTTTTWAMYWAWATYCCCTCTGGAAACCTGRAGATTTTTTTTTTTTTTTTCCGATTGTTGTGGAAACCCTGAAGTAACGCAGGCGGGCCTTGTCTTTGTCTATCCATCTCCAATTTTTTTTTTTAACTAATATCACCTAGTACCTGGGGTAATACCGAACAGCCTACCATCTTCCCTCGAATAGAACGCGCCCGGAACGCCCCGGCCCAATACAGCTGTGCATTTAGGTGGGCAACTTTCAGTCTAGATACAGAGATAATGACCGGGCGTTCTATTGGGTTGTGCAGACAGTAGAGAGGTAGAGTCGGTCTTTCATCTCTTACTGGAGAAAAGGCACCGAGACCAACACTTTCCTGGACCTACTTATCTGACCTATAGATCAATCAACTTAACACCCTCACACTCAAGGTCGGCTAGAACATGTACCACAGTACCAGTAGAAGAAACTAACATGCAACAGTGGAGCAGTGCCAACAATGCAACAAGAGTGAAAAAACCTCACCTAATCCGAACTTTATGTTTTTCTTTCCCCTCTTCAACATCTTTGGTCTGAAAAAATGACTAAATAAGGTCTTTGTTGGGGGGGGGGGGGGGGGGGGGGGGGATGCTTGATCAAATGGGACCCTTCCATTCCTATTTTTTTTGTTTAGTTAAATAGTTTCATTCCGTTAAGAGTATGGCCTACCTTCTTCCCCCGAATACAATGCACGGTCAGTATAGCTGTATTTCGACTGGAAGATGCCCCAAATAAGGCTATAATGACCGTACGTTGTATTCGGGGGAAGGTAGCATCATGGTTGGTTAAGTCAGGTTAGGTTAGGTTAGGTTAGGTTCGGTTCCCTTGCTCAGAAAGAAAGAAAACCTAATTCTTGCGTTCCATAGCATTTCTTAATATAATAATAACCCTAATACAAATTACAAACGGTACTTTTGCATTCATTTGTACGGACGAAGGCCGTCGTCACCTAATTAGAACGTACGGTGATTATCGCTGTGTCTAGACAGGAATTTCGCCCAAATACAGCTTCAACAATCCCCATACGTTCAATTCAGAGGAAACCGGTAGTCTACTACAACTCCTCGATCGAACCCAGGATTGGAATTAAGGAGGATATCATTCAATCTACCTGACACGTCTCAAGCCGTCTTCATCCGAATAGAACGCCCGGCTGGAATACAAACTAGGGGTAGAGCCGCCTTCATCCAATAGAACGCCCGGCTGAAATACAAACTAGGGGTAGAGAACACAGACTACCGCGTCTTCCCCCGAATACAACGCACCATCATCGCGACTGCATTCGGGCAGGAAAGACATTGCATACATTCATGATTAAGGCGCGATGCATTCGGACGAAGAACTGACTAGGTGCGTTGCATTCCTAGGGAAGACAGGTTTAGGGTTAAAAGGAGACGAGTATTCGGGCAGGAAAGACGGATTGCATACATTCATAATTAAGGCGCGATGCATCTGGACGAAGAACTGACTAGGTGCGTTGCATTCCTAGGGAAGACAGGTTTAGGGTTAAAAGGAGACGAGTACTCTTTCGAAGCGATGCTATATAAGTGCCATATGTGCACAACTTGCTACCGTCTACACCCGAATAGAACGCCCTGTCATTCTTTTTTAGCTCGATTCAGGGCAACTTTCAGTCCAGATGCAGCTTTGATGACCGGGCGTTCTATTCGGGTGAAGACAGTATAGTCATTATAACTACACGGACTTGATCAGTAAAGCCCCATCCATCATATCACCTTACAGCTCGCACGAGGAACAAAACCACGAATCCATCATATATATAAGAACGATAACGACAACGAAAACGAAAACATAAACGACAACGGAAACCAAAACGGCGATAAAAACGGAAACGAAAACCGAAACGGAAACGAAAACGTAAATCGGAGAACGCAAACGGACACCGAAATGAAAACGGGAAACGGAAAACGGGAAGCGACATGAAACAGGAAAACGGGAAAAAAAAACGGAAACGAAAAGCGAAATGAAAACGGGAAACGGAAAACAGAAAGCGACATGAAACCGGAAAACGGAAAAAAAGGGAAACGAAAAGCGATATGAAAACGGAAACGGCAAACGGACACGGAAAACGGAAACGGAAAAAACGGAAACGGCAACTGATGGGAAGGTAAACAAACACAATCCCAAACAAATGGAAAAAGGCAAAAGGGTTCATAATAAGTAAAACCGTAAACATCATGAAAAACCGTCGGAACAGAAAAAATATCAAAAGATAAATTGTCCTGGCAATGAAAAATCTTAAGAGCTCCTAATTTCGCTCGAAAAATCGTGACCACAGTACATCCGCCATTGATCTAATTACCATCATACGGACCTTCACCATTTCTGTAGGGTACCTACCTCTCTCTGCTCAACTGCAGCCGCAGATCGTGCGTTGGAAGGACCATGCTGCGGCGGGCTTTGTTACCTGTGCACCATCACATCACATCCAGCTAGAGGCATTCCTGAGCGGGGGCTACCGTGTTCACCCAAATAGAACGCCCGGTCATTATGGCCGCATTTGGGCCAACTTTTAGACCGGATGGAGCGACAATGACAGGGCGTTCTATTCGGGTGAAGACGGTAGAGTACGTTAGCATGTCATATCGCAAAAAGCTCTGAACCGGGCTGTGTCTATATGAGTCATGCCCTTCTTCGCCTTACACGGGTTGTTGCATCTGATGTATTTAGTATTTCTTGAATTGTTTATTTCTACATTTGTGAGTGATGCTTTCAATGCCAAATGGGAGGAACGAGTGAGTGGAAAGACGAAAATAACCGACACGGTCATATACTCTTAGGTCAACCGCTCAATATTCCATCTCGAGGAAGTTCCAGGGTTAGTAGGCCCAATTGTCGATTTCTTCGCGAACTCAGAGTAGAGGTGGCGAGGAATGAAAGAGAGCATCCTCGTTCTCCCTTATGCTCCCCCCTTCTCCCCCTTTTCTTCCCTTTTCTACCCCATTCTCCCTCTTTTTTCCGCCCTTCTCGGACTTTTCATTCCTTTTCTCCCCCCTTTTGCTTCTTTTCTCCCCCCCTTTTACCCCCTTATATCCACTCCTCTCGCGACCTCTTCTGCCCCTTCGCTTCCCCGTTCTCCCCTCCCTTCTACCCCTGTTCTTCCCTTTTCTCCCCCCTTCTCCCTCTTTTCTTCATTTTTCTCCCCCTCTTTTCTCCCCCCTTGTCCCCCTTTTCTTCACTTTTCTCACTTTTCTCCCCCTTTTCTCCTACTTTCCTCCTCCCTTCTCCCTCTTTTCTCCCCCTTATATCCACTCTTGTCCCCCGACCTCCTTTTCTGCCCCCCTTTTCTCTCCCCTTTGCTTCCCCGTTCTCCCCCTCCTTCTCCACCCTCTCCCCCGCGTGGCCAATCTTTGTCCAGCTCGCCTAGCTTCATTTCCATTTATCTATTCTCCTTCTTTTCTATAGTTTTTGTCAATTTATACGTGTCCAGCTCGCCATCACCACATCCAGTCCAGGAAGAAAATTCACCATTGGGCTTGCTTACTAACCCTATAGGACTTCCTCGAGATAGAATGTGGCGCAATTGCCCTCTCAGAGACCTCCAGGAGGGTAACAATGTGAGGACGCCTTTTAACGCAAATTCTTCAGTCAGGGAACCAAGAAAAAGGAAACAGCCAAAAAAAAAAAGCGTTCCCAGAAAATTGTCACACAAAAAACACCAAAAGAGGAGAAAAACACCCTTCACCGAGATAGGTAAGCCTTCCTTCACCGAGAGAGGTAGATAGGGGTCCCATGTACAAACTCCACAACATGAGCACAACAAAGGAACTAAAAGAGGAGAAAAACCCTCCGCCCTTCACCGAGATAGGTGAAACTCCCTTCACCAGGAGAGTATAGCTATGTTTGAAGGGGTCCCATGTATAGCCTCGGATGTAGTAGAGCAGGTAGGTAGCGAAAAATGAAAGAATTTGAGACAAGAATTGGCGTAGTTCATTTATAAAACAAAAAGACATTGAGTGAGGCCAAAAACATCTGCAAAATCCTTAAATGGGTGAAGAAAAATAACACTTCTCTCTCCGATAGCTAGACCCCCTCGACACGCCCGCCGCTTCTTCTTTATCTTCCCCTACCGACCAACTAATTAACCAACCAACCAATCAATCAATCAATCGCCCTCGACACGCCCTCCGCTACTTCGTTGCCCTCCCCTTCTGATCAATCAATCAATCAATCAATCAATCAATCAAGCGACTGATCGATCCATCAATCGATCGATCGACCACCTAATCGAGCGATCTACCGAGCGATCAATGAGCCGCCATCCCTCCTCCTCAAGATTGCTAGATATATCGAACGGCCATCCCTCCTCAAGATTCCAAGGCCTAGCACCAAAACCACTCAATAGCAAGACCCTCGAAAACGTGACACCGTCAAGCACTCGGAGAATATGTGCGTGAACAGTACACAGCTACATCTCCTCCCTATAGGAACCTTCTTTTCTTTTTTCTTTTTTCTTTTTTTTTTTTTGGCACCCGAGGAGCTGAGCAACCGACGTGGAAGGCGCAAGCGAAAAGCATAATCGTTCATCGACAACCACCGGCGATGTTTCAGAATGGCAAGACAATAAACAATAGGCAGGAGACGAAGGGGACGACAGGGGGGAAACGGGGGAAGGCGGGGGGGGTGGAAGACCGAGGGCGGAGGAGAGGGAGCGAGTGTGGGTGAGGGTATGGAAATAGAATCCATTAATCATCCGATTGCATCAAATGGGATGACAGAAATTCGATGACATGGACATGTACTTTCCATCTTCGCCGACGACCGTTAAAAAGGGCGGGGTTCAAACCCCGAGTGAAAGGAAAAGCCCGAAGTCTTCAGTTAAAAAGGCCAAGGTTTAAACCCCGAGTGAAAGGAAGCCGGAAGCCTTCCTTTTCTCTACCACAAACGGAGACCAGGTTCGTCTGCAGCAGTCTGCAGCAAGTACTAGATAATCCCCCGAGCAGAAAGAGCAGGCAACAGGGCAAAATAGTAAAAGAGGGTGACTCTCCAGTATAGCTTAAGATCCCAGGTCGCAGCTTAAGATCCCAGGTCGCAACTTAAGATCCCAGGTCGCAACTCTTTATCTCAGGTAGCAGCTTAAGATCCCAGGTCGCCGCGTAAGATCCCAGATCGCAGCGTAAGATCCGCAGTCGCAGCTTAAGATCGGCAGTCGCAGCTTAAGATCCCAGGTTGCAGTTTCACAACTCCCTCCGCTATCGCAGATTAGGCTCCCCAGTAGGTCGGAGATTAAGATCCCTAGTCGCATGTTCCAATCCCGATACGATTCCCAGATCATAATCACACGCCCTTCGCTTCCCCTTGGTTGTTCTAATTCCTGTCCTCCAGTGCTTGACGGCTAAAAACTCGCGCCATCTCCGTCTTCTCCCTCTCTGCATCTCCGTCTTCATCGTCAGCGTTGCTTACGGTCGCGCCATTTCCTTCCTCTCCATCTCCACCTCCATCTCCACCTCCTTTCGCCATTTCCTTCCTCTCCATCTCCATCTCCATCTCCATCTCCTTTCGTCATTTCCTTCCTCTCCATCTCCATCTCCATCTCCTTTCGTCATTTCCTTCCTCTCCATCTCCATCTCCATCTCCGTCTTCTTCCTCCAGCTTACTTATCGTACTTGGGGTCGGCCACCACGTAGTGGTAGGCCACCACCAGAAGGAAGATCAAGATGCCCAGGATGTTGGCGAACATGCCCAGCCCTTCGTCGTCGATCATCTTCGCTGACCTACCCTGTTCCTGTTCCTGCGACGGTAGCGCCCTCTACAAACAGGATAGGTTTGCTGCCGCGCTCGACGTTGGCTCGCGCGAGGAACACCCTCCTCGCCCCCTCTCCACGCAACTCTCGCTCTCGACTCCCGCTCCAATTGCGTTCCGACACTCTCCTCGTCTGGTTGCCTTGCTGGCTGCCTACGGGGAATAGAGCCAGTAGCCAATCTTGGGTGAAAAGCTTGAGAGTCGGAAGGGCGCCAGATCGCTGAAGAGACTACGGGAAGACGACCCTGGAAACCCTCGAATCGAAATCGCCAACTGGTAGAGCGGTATCGCTACAGGTGGGGACTTTTTCAACTAACCTCTGGACGTAATTGCGGTCAAGTACGTCCAGGAGGGACAGTTGCAGTCCAGGAAAGTCCTCTTTCAGTACTTACTCACACTAGTACTTTTTCGACTGAACTCTAGTCGTGATTACGGGCAGATGCGTCGAGATCCGCAGTAATTCCAGTCAGATGCGTTGTGAGTGTGCACATATCTGACAGTTGCTAGCCCGCTAGACCATGGCACGCTGCTGCAGTAGGTAGGCGCCCGTGTGAACAACCAGTAGCCGCGCAAGCTGATGGTGGTGAGTCCGGCACCTGCCTTCTTCCCCCGAACATAACGCACCCTGATAATGACCGTACACAACCTATATCTCCGGTCATGTTCAGCCAAAATGAGGGTGCGTTGTGTTCGGGGGAAGTCGGTAGCCGCGGCACTGGCACTACCAGTAGCGCTGAACCAGCCAACACCCAACACTGCCGCCGAACCTGACCTGACCAGGCCGGGTAGTATTGCTAGACCTGTGCCGAGCCTCTCCCCGAGTCACCGTGTCAATATGTAGGTGAGAGAAATATAGATGAGAGACAAGTGCCGAATTTTTGTACGTACTGGAGACCCAACGCACAGGTCCGATCCAGATAAATTAGGAAAAGAATAGTCCATCTATACTGCTTGATCTATCGCACAGGAGAGAGTCACGAAGGTGGGCCGCAGGCCTGCAACACCTCCTAGGTGGGTGGGACTGCGCCAAAATCAGGCGAGGGAAAACGACTCTTCCTCTGTGCAACCGGTTGGCTGCCCTTACTGTGCGTGCGCAGGTTCGCGTAAGCGATGACAACTGCGGCTGGTCCTGTTCCCGAGGGCGCAGCACGTGAAGGAACTTAACCTGCGGTGACCAGCCAGTCACCAGTTACTTGTTATACAGTCGCGGCTTTAGGAAGTGGGAGCAGGGTCAGCAACACGGCACTCCATTCTGGACAAGTTCCTCGGTACCTTGAACTCATGAGTGATGGCAATAGTAGATGAATGCTGGCGCCGTTTTATCATCGTGGATGTTGAGGGCGAATGGGATGCTGAGATCTTAAGACCAGCCCGGATGCTCGACGTCATGAATTTGTGGATGTGAGTCTCAGAAGTCAAATGGCATGAAGAGTGAAGTCCTAACAGTCGTGTCCGGTCGTAGCCCAGGACCAACAACCATTGTCAACTGCCTGAAAATTGAAGGAGGGTCGTGAGCCACGAGAGTAGGGTCCAACTGCAATGGGTGGAGTAGGACGGTTGCTGCACAAGTTCGATCCAGATAAAAATAGGAAAATAGTAGTCCATAGATGCTGCTTGATCGCACAGGAGAGAGTCGTGAAGGTGGACCACATGCCCGCACACCTCCTAGACCGCCCATCTCCCTCCATCGTCCCGCAAGTGGCTCCGACATCTTGCAGGGACTCGGAATGGTGGAACGAGCGAATGAGCGATGGCAGCTGGAGAAGGAGGCGAGCGATGGCACCATGCTTTATCTGTGGGAGAGTTGGCAGTGGTGTGGGGAGGGGTTGAGATTGCGGTTAAAGGAGATTGACATTAATTAGTTGTGCGAACAGGATACACAAAGACTGGCAGGGGGGGAAGGTTCTTAATACATTGGAAAGAACCTCGTAGCGGTGAGGAGACATGCTTGGGAATGCTTCAAGAAAAAAATATGGTTTACATGAGGTTGGTTCAGGATTTGCGATACGGGTACATTTTTAGATCAGGGCGAGAGTACGGGCCATTGGGGGGTGGGTGGTTCGTCAAGAGGGTACATAAATGGTTCGTGGAAGCTGAAGTTTGTGAAGCGGAGAGAAAGCATAGCTTTAGACTTAGGGGAGTACAAGTGAGGATAGAAGAGGGATGAAGTATGAGGGAGAGGATGAGGCAAGGTACGTGGAGTAGTGTGGGAACTTTTATGCAGTATGGTTATGGTATGTAATGGGAGTTTTAGGTGGCAAAAAAAATTGTTTTAAGACTGAGGACGGTGTGGTTCGGGTAGGAGAAGTGGATCGTTGGACTAGAAGTGCCTGAAAATTTGAATTGGGAATTGTGAAAGTTCGGGAGGGTGAGAGGGAAGCGGTTATGGAGAAGCAATTAGCCCTGGAAGTGCTTGGAGTGATGCACTTCATACAATGTCTTCCTAGTAGCACAAGAGTGGTCGTAACCCCTGATGTTGTCGCAATGCCTTCAATGAAGATCTCCTACCATTGGTGGACTCATGAGACTCCTCTCCATTCTTACGAATATTTAGATTCGGAATCGACGTGATAAATTCATAATCCCCTCGATGTAAATGGCGTGGACCTTTTAGTAGTTTGGAGTAGGATAATTAATCATTGATAGTTCGGGCGATAGCCCTTGCGTATCTTGTGCTTCTGACGTCAATACTTGGATTGCACTTGTAAAGCTTTTGTTCCTTCTTGCGATATGAAGATTTAGATGATAAATTGATATCCTCTCAACGCAAATGACATGTCCTTATCGGCAGTCCGGGGGAGGATAATTAATCATTGATAGTTCGGATGACAATCGTTGCTTACCTTTGTGCTCCTTGCAAGACTTTCACAGTTGCGGTGTCGGTACAGAAACCCTGACAAGGGTATATGCCATGTATTTTCAATGTCGGACAATATCTGAATTATGAAGTAAGTTTTGCTTTGAAAATATTTTGTCTGATGAAATGAAAACGTCGCTGAAAGGTATTTATACTCGTCCGCGATTGAAGAAATATAATTTATGCAGCCATCTATCTCCCGACAAACAGAACGACAAGGGTAGATGGTGTAATCGGACACTCTTACGTCGAAACAAGGTCGGGTAGAGAGAAGGCGGATAAAAATAAATAAAAATAAATTGTTTTGACTAAAATTGGGTAGCAGCCGGACGATTTAGGACTAGAAATAAGAAAATTTAGTCACGTCAGGGGTATGGTGACGGTGATAAAAGTTGACACAATCAGAATGACGTGTCTTTTCTAAAAGACGGGCGTCAGGAGTCCAAAGGCAAACCACGACGAAAGGGGTGGATTGTCGGGCCTACTAGACTAAACCCAGCCGGCCAGGTGGCGGGGCGGTCTGCCTTTGGAGGGGATAGACAAACTGCACCAGCCTAGCCCAGAGAGTAGGCGGCCTACTAGCCGCAACCATTCAAATAGAAGGGTGGTAGGCATAGTTCCTATCATAGGAGCTAGCCCAGTAGGTACGACACTTAACTTTCACCCAACAAATGTTGGAATCGAGCCCGACGATTTCATGCCTGGGCTAACTCCTTTTTGAAGTTGCCCGTAGTATAGGCCTGAATCAGGCGGCCTTATGGGCTGCAACCTTTCAAACAGAAGGGCGACAGGGATAGCTTCCGTGATAGGAGCTAGCCCAATAGGTATCGCATTCAAACTTTCACCCAACAGAGGCTGGGATCGAGCCACACGATGCTCTGCCTGGGCTAACTCCTTTTTGGAGCAGCCCATCATAATAGCATGAAGCGCGGCCATTTTCGGTCGCGAGATCTACAGATTTGACGACCGAAAACAGCCGCGCTGTCGTGCGCACGGTCCCCACTGGGGGAACCTTCCCGGCCGCGTCACGCAGGATTGGCAGTATTCGCAAGTCGCTTCATGGAAAGGGAAGCGGCGAAGCCGCTCCGACCGAGTGCGCCAGCTATACCTCCATCGAGTCCCTACGACAGGACAGGGTCTCGCGAGGTACAACTTACCTCCACCTGCGGGAGCTGTCACCATCCCTTGGGTGGGTGTATCCCCGCCGAGCTACTGAACCACACGCGAAAGTTTTTACTTGCAATCACGGAGGTGGCCCAGCCGAGGGCATTTCTCGTATGCTGTAGCATAGGGGGTACGCGCGGTCCATGCCTAGCTCCGACCCGTACGCGAACCGTCACGCTGGGGCGCTGATCTCCCACGTGCGATTCAGCGTCGATCGACTAGGACATCCTAAATAACCACGCGATACACGATAAAACAACGTAACCCATACAAACAAATCAGCCTACTCCCTTTTTCATACGTCCTGACCCATAACTCAGAACTGCCAATGTGTCTGAGCGAAGTCTGCACATAGTTACATAAAAAGAATGCCACTGCCATGGGAACCATAACGTTCAGTCATGTGTTCTCACTTAATCTGCTATCATGGCGACGCTTCTTGCGTTACCCACATCCGTTCAACCTCCCATGGTTTTCGGGGTTGCGTACGATACTCAAGTGTCGAAAGCGAAATATCGTGAAGGGTTTCTCCTTCACGATATTGCACTTCTGAAGGATAAGTCGTTCGGCCCTTGCGGAACCCCTGTTTTTTAGGCAGTGGGTGACGATAAGCAAGGGGCGCAAGTCCGCCTCAAGGGGGAAACCTTTTTGTGCTGGATCGGAGTCTGGGGCGTCTTGGACAAGGACCTCGAATTCCAGGCTCAGGACCAACGTCCATTTATTAATCTTAAAAGCAAGACCCCTTTTGAGACAGGGTACGCTCGTCCTTCCCCTGCGGAAGGAAAATACGAGTACTCATGGGTTGGCGAGCAATTCGTCGTACCCAAGCTAAGTCTCGGTCCGATCTAAGGTCGAGCGCTAAACCTTGCGCTCAGCTACTCCTGCCTGTTTGCTAGATGCACACGGCAAGAGTAAAATAAGAGAAAGAAAATGGCGAGTCTCGGGGGAAATCAGCGAGAGTCATTCTCACAGCCATAGTTGAACCTTGTCACTCACACCCTGCACTCATTCATCCATATCACTCTCAAATCTAGGAGCGAGTCCTCGCTCCCATACATACCTGCACACACATGAAACCCAATGAAGATTCACATCCAAAATGCCACACGTGGTCAACTCCTTTGCTCCCAGGCTCATGTCCCACACGCCCCTTTCCGACCCCATTCAACAAAGGCATATCCGCCTATCCCGATTCACACAGCTTTTGCATGACTATTCAAG